TCTGAATAGTCGATTCCATCCATTCCAAGCGAACATTGTGCAGTCTTCTTCAGGATCTGCTGACCCGTGTGTCCCAATCTCTGATGCCATCTATGTGCATTCGTAACTTTTGGGATCCTAGCTATTCCTGGTGCTGCTAATTTGTTCGAAATGGAGGCTCTCTCTCTCTGTCCCAGCGGTTTGATATATAACACATGGTCGATTGTCTCTAATCTTGCTATCGGTTCATTGTCTTTGATTCGTATCAATAATTCGTTAGCATTAGCTGCAACAATGCCATGTTGATCCTTTAATTTTCCCGCTGATATAATGTTGCATGTGGAGTTGGGTGAAAGAAGGGATTCATCAAGCTCCAGTGATTGACTACCAATCCTTACAAGACTGGTTCCCTGATATGTCAACACTGAATTTCCCACAGCTTGATCAAACCTGAAGGGTTTTCGCAATTTATTCAGCGTGGTGAAGTCACTTTTGTGACGAATAAAGTGGTGCGAGGCACCAGTGTCGTACAGTAGAGGGTTTTTGATTAAACTAGCTGTTGTAGCCCTAGCTAGTCTGCAACTTGACATCCCCTCGCTCTCACTGTCTTCATCACTGCTCCCAATTGCGACACTCACGCTTGGTTTTCCCTTCGCTTTTCCCTTTTTCGACTTTTTCCCTTGCCTCAACTCTGGGTGCTGCTTAAAACAATTCTTGTTTCTGTGTTGATGGGTACACAGCACGCAGTAGTCATTTGGGCCCCCAACAGCTTTCTTCTTCCCTCCATCGTTCCTCTCGCCCTCACCAGTCATCACCATCACCTGCCCCGACGACTTCCCTTTCGACTGTCCAACTTGGCGAAGCGTTGACATCATCGACTCGAGCGGCACATACCTGTTCTTTCCGTCTAGGATCTTGGTCTGCCTCCAAGTATCCAGCCAATCAACACTCTCTGTTCCCAAAACGAAAAGAAAACTTGCTAGCCCATGGCGTACGGTGTATGGATTGTCCGAGTCAGAAATAGATTGCTGGTGATGCATTGACTCAGCGGCACTGTTAACGCTCAAGTAGTGCTGCATAAACTTATCGCAGTATTCTTCGATTGTTGTGAACTTTGTGTTGATTAGATTTCTGACGGCACTCTCATACGGTGTGGCCGCACTTTCCTCTCGAGTCGTCGCTATTGTGTCGAATATTTGCTTCGCTGACATTCGCCGAAAATTCTGGGGACGAACACTTGGACTTAGTCGTCGGAGCAGGACATTTTTAGCCTCAATTTCTCCCTCTTTCCACCTCGCAAGTTCCTCCGCGTACTTCGCCGAGGTCTTGCAAAACTCGTCGTCGGTTTGATTTTCTCCCCTGATCGGTTCACGAGGTCGAAATGCCGGTTGAATTTCCTCGAAGTCATGAAATACATGGGCTAACCGACCTTTCTTGATCAGGGCCGCCTGGAGATCCGATTCCCAGTCCGCAAAGCTTACTCCAGGGGTCAAAACGATTGCTGAGCTTTTATTCATATTGTAAGGTGGTGTATATCTTTGGAGAAGTTAGGATGACTGATTTAAAGCATTATTGAGGTGCCACAGAGAAGGACTCCGGGCTCATAACCTGTTATATTAACTAGGCTATATGGGAGCAGGACGATGGATACTCTTGGGGAAGTTATGCTCACAGTAGGTCTCTATAGTCGCTGTCGCGTGTGTTCTCGTGATATGTAAGACTTGACTCTATATTCTCGTATAAAGGAAACTTAGTTACAAATGAATGGACGGAGGTTGAGACCTCCTTATATCTTGCTCCAGACTTACTGTGTTGTTCACAGCCTAGTGCTAGAACATTCCCTTATGATATCATTTCTCTCCTACGAGAAATGACCAGCTCGTTCTCTCTCAGTCCATCAGTCTCTCGCTGATTCCGTTATCTCTATTCCATCTAGTTCTAGTTTGGTCCAGTATACTCACACATGCATCACACATGCATTACACACTAAACACCCTACGGTTTAGTTCCACAGTCACGTGCATATGCTATGACGCGACCTAAAGCATGTACCATGGTAAGTTACATGGATAACACAACAGTTTATGTACAGTGAGAGCTTTGATTGGCCTGAATTTTTGGTGGTGTTGCACAGGGGCTAACCAAAATCGACTCTTGGTACTTTAGATAAAGCCGCATGGTTAGCTTTATTCTTGGATGTCTATAATCATCATAATGCTAGCAGATTCGGATGGGACCAATGTCTAGCCACGGATAATATCGATTCATTTTATTGTCCTGTCTGAGTCTATGACTATGTAGGATATGCAAGTCCTCTCTGCCCACAGGCCAAGGATGCCTATCTAGTAGTATATTCACCCCTTTGCCTCCCACGCAGCTCCCCTCAAACAGTACCACCCCTCACAAGTCCTCATTCGATCATACACTTAGAGGAGCCCTTAGCCCTTCATTGTCTCCCCTCTCCAGACAATGAAACGATGGCCATTTGCGGATGTATGGCAGCCGGGAAAAATCGCAAAAACCACTGGGTGCGGGACTCTTCTATTACTGAAATTTGGACTAAGCCCGAAGACATAGTGACCCTTCTGAGGCGTTCGAAGAGACCGGCCAGCTTGGCGCTGCAGACTTGTGAGTACCTCTGGAAATTCACCTCCTGCCTTTCTAGCCTCCTTCCAACCCTTTCCCGAAGGTCGCGCTGAAATTTCAGAAAAGTCTTGACAGAGCGTGACTGCAGTATGCTAGCTTAGCCCAACATCTTCTGTGCCGTCCAGGGCGCTGGGGAGTGCAGTTGACTCATAGACAATTTAAGTCCTCCTGGCTAATTAGCCGAAATCTCGGTCTTGTCGTCCACAAACGTTCCAAAGTTGAAAACTCCTCGAAAATACCAGTCCCAGCATGCTCTTCAGAGACCTATTCCCTCTCCCGCTCTACATTTCAGGCGCCTGTTCTCCATCAAGTTGTTTGTTCCATTAGAGCATTAGTCCCCCACAATCCAGGATCCAGGCTTTATATTTTTCGACTTGATTCCCTCCTTACGGGTATAAATAGCGTCGTCAATATGTAGTGATAGATGGCTGGAAATCACTGGGGAAAGCTCCTGTTTGCAACTGGAGTAACTTCTTTATTGGTCGTTGAGGCGAGATGATGTGTGGTTAGAAAGAGGTTGAGGACTCAGAAGATAATGGTGAGTGCTGCATGATTGAGAAATCGTCAAATGGAGATATGCATGTGTTTGCTTTCGACTTCGATTCGGATGCGATTTTTCTTGGCTATCACAGATATGCAGAGCATACTGATCGATTACACCGGCACCACTGGAAGGTGAAGAATTCATATTTGCCGGCTTCACGGTGGTATTTGCGAATAAAATCCGGAGTATAAGTGTCTTTGGCGTGAAAAGAGTCATCCAACATGTATACATAGCACTAATTATGTTTCATACCTTGATAGCTGAACACACGTTGAATGAGTTAAAATAAGAGCCCTTGACACTTTCTCAACCTCTGAGATTCTATTCTATTCAGTTCCAGTCGTACTTCCTCCCAATTTCCCCTCTTTTGAAGCAAAGCTCTTATTACTAAATGAAAGCCTCGTCTAATAACTCACCCACGCCTCATTTCTTTTACATTGCGCGGTACTTGTAGAGATTTAAACGTTTATGGGTCTGTAATCGTGATTTTGACACTTTAAAATTCGGGGAGCTTCGACACACGGCAAGATGATTTTGGTGTTGGGTTCGAGATGAGCGCGGCGGAGAAGAATCTTCCAGGGAGGATTCAGGCGATTATGGAATACAAATTTAAAACGAATATCAACAAGGTTGAGCATATCTAAGATTCATAATTATGGTACAGATGATTGATCTCGTTGGATTATGAAGACGTGAGATATCCTTGATTCGGATGTTCAACCTAAAATCTGCCAATGCGGCTCTCCCGACGACCTGCTTGCTGAATGTTTTGTGAAGGACCTTTTTTCGTGACGAAATTTTTGCTCTGAGCGAATCCGTTGATATCGGGATTAAAAACTACACCAGACTGGCTTCTAGTCATCGTTTATCCGATCTGTGCTTCACCCATATCCATGCGAAAAGTCCCTTAGTATATATTTTCCCTTCTTTGATTATTTTTGAACGGACCAGGCATAAGCATCGAAATCAATTTCATGTGGCACGCGCGATTGTTCCTGAAGATTTAATACTACGAACATGATTAATTAAAGACTAACTGGGAATTAACAAGAAAAAAATGTGTCATGGTTTATGTTCTGCACCTTGCCTAGCTCTCCTGATAAAACCTACCAAAAGACTAATTCATGCGACTTTACATTAACTCTCACCAGCCGTTGTCGTGTTGATTGAAGTCAGGTTCTCACACTTGCATCTACCAAAGCAAACTTGGCGCATGCTGTTTTAAAAAGTGGGTAACGCTCCTCGAAGCTATGATCTTGGAGCCCACTAGCATCCCACAGTCAAAAGCTCTCGAAAAGAGACAGCCTGAGCCTACCCAATAACACAATCTTCTCTCTCTCAAGCTTCAGAACTCCATTAAAGTAACGGTACCCCACAAGCAAAAACCCGAGATTTATTTACTGACTTGGTTTCCTCCTTATGGGTATACGTAGCTTCGTAAGTTTGAAGTGGGACATGAGATCTAATTAATGGGGTAAGCTCATCTTTACAATTCAAGTAACTCCTTGATCGGCCGTTGAGTTGAGATGGTATGTGGCAAGGCGAAATTGGAAGACACTTATCAGAATAGCAGGACCGAAAATTGATAAGAAGTCGTTGAATTTAGATATTCTTGTATTCGGTTTCAACTCCCATTCGAATGCAGTACTTATTCGCTATCCAAAGTATGCAGTCGATGCTGAGTTTTTTCGGTGGTAGTGATATCTGATGAGGACTTCGCCTTTGCTGCCTGTGTTCTCTCGGCTAATACTAGTCATCAAAAGATGCACTCTTCGTCGGTGTTCGCTCTGAAGTGCGTGAGACAAAGTCGTTTTCAAGTGTAAATTTCTCCATGTCCAGTTCCAAACGATCGTATGACGGATCGACAAAAGAGTCCAAGCTCAACATGTTTATTCCCATGTTCGAAAAGTTTAGGGACGACCTAGACAAACACCATGACCGCCGAGAGCGGGTGATCAAGGCTTCTCGTGATATAACTGCCGCCAGCAAAAAGATGTGAGGACTGTTTAGCTGTTACAAAAAAATTTACTGAGATGATGTAGAATTTTCTCATTGCAAAGGTAACTAAGGCCCAAGAATTCTGGTGCACACGCAGCTCTGAGGTTTAATACGACGAATAGGGTACGGGAACTATCCACAGATTATCCTCCCAAGTTATTGTCTGAGATTTCCGAAAAAGAGGTAATTATACGGCAGCAGTTCGAATCCATTAGACCCGACCTCCAAGGTATCAACTCTTGGCGCTACCAGCCTCAGATCTCACCAGGCCTTCAGGAATTTGTAGAAGCTATTTCGCTGCAACATTATCTTCGAACGCAGACTATAATTTCTCTCGAAGAGTCATCCAAACAGCTTCCCAGTGGAATCGAACTGAGTGGGGAGGACTTCCTATTGGGGCTATTTGATGTCGTTGGGGAGTTAATGCGCTTTGCCATAACAACAATGGCTACAACTGCAAAAATTCCAGGAGCGATCAACAAAGAGGGATCTAAACAAGATATATTGATGGATTTGAGAACTCTCCGAGCGCATTTTGAGGAATTATGCGTTCCACCATGTCGAAGCAACTGGCTTGCGCAAAACTTTGATAAAAAAATGGAAGTAATGAGACAATGTGTACAAAAAGTTGAACACGCTGCCTACGGAAAGATAGTTCGGGGGCAGGAGAGACCTTTGGGCTGGTTTCCCCCGTCATCTGATGAATGAGAGGCATTTGAAAATTATTGAGACAAATAATTTCTCTAAGTGTCGGGTACCATTCGATTAAATAAAGCGTACTGAAATTCGGAGACATAGGATCATTCTTTGATCGAGTATCTACCAAATATAGCCAAGGAATTTTAACATTCTAACAAAATTGTTTGCAGGACCCAGTGAGCTTAATCAAAGTAAATTTTATTAGACCTTGTCATTCTTCCTGATAACTTTCTCAGCAACTCAGAAGAGCATTATCCTTTCTAGTACTTGTATACATACACACGGATGCAATCTTTTACAGTAAGATACTCATTAAATTCCTACTCACGACTGCTCACTAATTAGTAAATCGTGCTTTTTGTTGAATTATAAGATTGTTGGTCAAATATAATCATTCTTGTACCTGAACATAATGGAGTTATGGTTGTATTTACTACTTACTTAGGAGTGTAGAGGGTAAGGCGGTTGGAGATGTTAGATACCCTGTATTAGTAGTTCCGTATTAGCGTACATATATAATTCATTTTACCTGATTTGGCGCCTTGAGGCCTATGCAGGTTTTTATCGGAAGATATGTACTTTAAGTAGGATGACTCAGTTTGACGTTTAGAACACTCACACTCAGATTTCATTTGCAGATACCACTCGAGGTTAACCCTTACAGCGTATAACCTCTTCTGTGCATACCCACCACAGGGAAAAGCGTGAAAACCCTGTGGCTAACCGAGTGTGCTTTCATCATCCCACAAGCACAATATCACCGCGAGAGAGAGTGGTGTGTGGGTCTGACTCGATTGGAAACAGCTTTCTCCTGTCTCGAATGGGGTGGGTGTTCAAGCTACCCAGTATCTACTTGGGAGAACGGCCCGGATGGTGTACCACTGCACCATCCAGCCCCGTATTAGCGAATAGATGAGGCAGGCCGACACACATTTATGGGAGTATGGTCGCAGCATCTTTTAATACAGCGATCGCGAGAATCATACACGATAGATTAATTCAATACTTTATCAATTCTACTTCCAGTGCTTACGTACCACTCGTATGCAAGAATCTTATTCTAATAGGTTATGAGCCCGGTTTGCAATAGAATTCGATAAAGCAAAGTTACTTGCAACAACTCGCACCAACCCGCAACAACTCGCAACAACTCGCAAGAACTTGTAATAACTCACAACAACCTGAATACGCGTCACCAACACTCAGGTTTAAATCATCATAATGGCTGATGAAATCTCAGAAAAGGGAACTGGCCTATGGAAACTGGCCCCTGTTTTAACGAAGGGAAATAAATCAGAATGGTTCCAGCTAGTTGAGCAAGTACTTGAAAGTGATGGGACACAGTGGTTATTAACACACACAAACAAAGAATTCGCGCACATCAGAGACTCATCCAGGAAAACTGAACCAGACGCACGGTGGACACCCTATACCACCGAGGAAGATGGTTTACCAATCAAATGGTGGATTCTTCCAGAAAAAGACCTTCAGTACAAAAGAGCCCAGATAAATTTCCGGTTGAACATCGGATTAAAAATTTCTGAAGCAGATAAGGATATGATGGATGGAAAGATTGGGATACCAGCCCAATATGCTTGCCTTTAAAATAGGTACAAGCACACCACTTACACTTCTGGGCACAGCACGATTGTAGCTTTCACTACTTGGGAGATGAATGTTGAACTTAGCCCCTCAACTAACTATACACAGTTTAGCAAGCTAAGAAAGAAGGTTCATCAGTTCTCTCCTGGAACTAAGTTATCAATAGATTTTATGTGGAATTTATTAGTTGCTGGACTTCGTCCAAGGTACGAATATATGACACTAGCAGAAGGCTTTCCCCCTAACATGATAGCCACTGAGCGACTTGACAGGCTAGACGAGAAGTGGTCTTATTTGCAATTGGAAGCTCGCAGCAAAGAAAGATCTTTTCAAGCAAATATTACAACCAGTGGACTAAAATGAGCAGAGAAAAGACAACAGACTGTGCAAATGCAGCCAGAGTAGAACGCGACCTAAGCTGCTTTAAATGCAGTTCTTGTCGTCACACCAGTATGTCATGTCCTTACGCTGAGATCAAGTTACAAGCTGCTAAAAAAGCTCGCATCCGTAGAGAAGGAGAAGAGAGCGACGAAGATACCAAGGTTTACCTACCACCGCGTCGACATGACAGCAATCACAGACTTCGTAAGGTTGGGCATCCTACTTCGCCTGAGCTTAGTCGTAAACCTAGCTCCTAAACAAATTGAAGGCAAAATTCATCAAGTAGACCTCGCGCATCATCATATTCCCGCCGTCATGAGCAGGCAAAATTTGCGGAGAATGACTCTTCTGATGAGTCCCAATCTGATGATGAAGAATTTGGTGGCCTCTCATGTTAAAAGCGCAGTAAGATTCCACCTTCCGCCTGGGCTGCCGACTCCCGCAGTACATCTCCGATGACTGACAACAAAAATCTTTTTAGTTCAGCATTGAAACCTTGTCGAAAGGGAATATAAGTTGGCGGAGGGTTTCTTTATTCAGTTGGGATAGGAACAGCTTTGTTAAAATAAAATGATGGAAAATATATTTGACTAGCAAATACACTTTTGGTACCAGGGCTAAGATGTAATTTACTATCCGTAAAGAAAATGGTTGTTGGAAATAGCTGTGTCGGTCAATTTAATTCCAATGGAATGATTTTCATCAACTTGCATTCTAAAACTAATCTTATCGAGGCAAAAAATCACAGAGGACTTTATATAATTTCGAAAATATCTGAAGGCGCAAATGGCCATATATTCGGTGATCCCGAAATATTACCTGAGGATATACCAGATGAGTTAGAAACTAAAAGTAATACCATGCCTAAATCATTCGAGGCAATGGAAGACATCTCGATTTTGAATACTAACACTGCAGAATCAGACTCTTCTCTTGAGAACTACAGCTCAACAAGACAAGCCACATATGGAAAAAATTAAAAAAAGGAACTTGGAAATCGGTTTGCTAACAGTGAAGGTAATGCAGTGCTCAGGGGCATCAGGAAATTTAAGAATGACAATTTAAAAAATCCTAAAAATATAAACCCTTCATTTAACGACAAAAGGATGCAACGAGAGCTGTCTCGATACTCCTACCACCACAGAAGATTTTGTCACGCAAGCTCGCAGGCAATTTCTCTTTTACATACTGTTTGCAATATAAAGAAAATTGTAATTCCAGAAAAAATTCCATTATGTGACATCTGCGCAGCACAAAATTTAAAGAAAAGACAACCAAAGAAATTGGCTGAGAATGCAGCAGAACCCTTAGCCCTGATATCATTTGATGTTGCCGGCCCGTTTCCTCCTTATCGTGGATACAGATACTTTGGAGAATTGATTGATAATTGGAGCCGCAAGACTTGGACTCTACTCTTCAAAGATTGAAAAGATGTACTGTCTACGTTGAATCATTGGAAGGCCAAAGTTGAACTACAATCAGGAGCAAAAGTTAAAGCGTCCCGTACAGACAACGCACCAGAAATCTTACAGACCTTAAGAGAATGGGAAAAGCAAGGTGTATCAATCCAGCAAACTGAGCCCTACACCTCGGCACAAAATGGTCCTGTCGAACGATCCATACAGTCTACTGAGACAGGTATAAGATGTATGCTCGATGATGCAAAGCTTCCTGAAGAATTCTGGTATGAAGCTGCACAGGCGTATACACGTGCTCGGATGCGACGTGGTCCAATGGTTGTAGAAGAAATTGTAGACGATAAAACGAAAAAGCCTGTAAAAATTGAATACGGCATATCCCCTGAGAAAGCTTTCACACGTAAAGTACCCCTCGTTCATAATCATGTCAAAACATGGGGCTGTGAAGTTATCACATGTCTCAAGATCTTCTTTGCCCGGCCGCAAAGATAAGTCTGTACCTTCTAGGAGAGAAGGAATATTTATGGGATATAGTGACGATACAACAGCTCATTATAGAGTTTATGCACCTGACATGCACACAACTATCACCTCAAGCAATGTAATATTTTTCGAAGATGTTCCTGGAAGAACTATTGCTAATTATCAACTATGGATAGAGCTTTCGAATGGTACTTTTAAGGAAAGTGACGGTAACTACAACATCATGCCCGTCCGAAACAAAAGAGGCAGACCAACTGATAATAGAGTGATTGATAATGTCATAGAACCAGTTTCAACCAATGAGTCTACTCACATTGAAAATTTAACAACTACTACCCCAGCTAACATTTTTACTGATAAAATCTCAGAGGATGGCAATAATGGAAAAATATCAAATACAATCATTACTAATACTCCAGACGCTTCAGTGGATGACAACAAGTCTAACAACTCCCTGACCAACAAGATCGGAAATAATCTTGCGACTTCAACTTTATCAGAACCTCAGATAGATTCGTCAAATATACATTCAACAAACATTGCTTCCACATCACGAGATGGGAACTATCAAGAGGTTATAAAAACTGACGACAAACTAAACCAAGTAATAAAGAAAAAATCTGTTAATTTCGATGAAGTTTTAAGGACAATTCCCAGGGGCGCAATGAGATCAGGAATGGAAAGACGACTTGAAGACGAAGATAATAGTGACGAAGGAATTTCGAAAAGATTAATGATTATGAAAGCATTAATTGCCTGGTTTAATGATACAGATGATGACATTGATGTGAATGAAACCGCAATGATTAGTAACGGTATACAAAATGATATCCCGATCCCAACGTCATATAAGATGGCGATCAAGGATGCAAAGCATGGAAAGAGGTGGAGAGAAGCTATTGATATTGAGCTTCAACAACTCATTGCAAATGGTACATGGCAAGTAGATGTCTCTCCAGAAAATGTCAATCTAATCACATCCAAATATGTCTTCTCTCTTAAATTTAACGCTGATGGAACTTTGGAAAGATTTAAGGCGCGATTGGTTGCTAGAGGGTTTAGTCAACAATATGGTATCGACTATACAGAGAAATTTGCACCAACCGCTCGAATGGCAACTTTCCA